GTGGTATTGTTCCAGAAATCCGAGTCTGGTGTTACTGTCCGTTCCGGCCATTCATGATGTGATTGACAATCGCCGTGAAGGAAACGTATCCGGTATAAACGATGGATATTGATTCTCGCGATCACAAAATAAGTTTTGACATCTATTCAGTGTTATTTTTGTCAGTTTGGTATAGGTCATGTTGACCTCGGACAGGTCTCTGACTGTTTGTCTTTTCACGCGTGCTCGTGACCATGTTTCCTTGGAGATTAATTTGTCTTAGAGATTAATTCCGGGCCCGCTAAACACGTGAAGTACCTCCATCATTGACTTAGACAATTAACAATATCGCCCTTTCGCGACGTTGATATCCAGGAGATTCTTGTGCCTCTAGATAACATGTGTATTAAAGCGATAATTCTAGTTGACTTAGTGCAAGTGATTCGGTAAGGAACATCATGAATAAACATTATCTATTTATTGTTACTAATGTACGGAGATACAGAGGGTTTATGATATTTTTTCTATAATAAAAGTAGTCAGATTTTCCCCCTACACGTGCACATTATAACTATAGTGTATAAATTATCTACTTTTACGTGCACACGCGATAAAAGTTGTGGAAAGTTATCTGTCTTTTGCGCGTGCACATAATAATAATCTCGTGTTGTCCTAATAGAAATTTTTTATATTATGTGCGCACGTAGTAAAAATTATATCTACATCATATTTATAACGTGCGGAAGAATATTGGAAATATACCTAATGTCCCGTCTATAGAAAGCAAGGATAGGAAACCAAAAATTATCTGAATGACATCATCACCACTCTCATGAACCGTTTTCATATCATAATTACCATTTTACCTACTAGTATATCATTTACTTTCATAATTTTCATAATACCGACAGTCGTAATGGTCCAAAATTTTCTACATCAATGAAACAGAACAGCTAGAAACGGACAGGTTATCTATTAATCTGGTATTTTCCTATCTCTCAAATCCTTCCTTGCTATGTTTCCCACCTTCCCTTGCTATGTTTCCCATCTTCCCTTGCTATGTTTCCCATCTTCCCTTGCTATGTTTCCCATCTTCCCTTGCTATCTTTCCCATCTTCCCTTGCTATCTATCCCATTTTCCCTTGCTATCTTTCCCATCTTCCCTTGCTATCTTTCCCAACCTCCCTTGCTATCTATCCCACCTTCCCTTGCTATGTTTCCCATCTTCCTTTGCTATCTTTCCCACCTTCCCTTGCTATCTATCCCATTTTCCCTTGCTATATTTCCCACCTTCCCGTGCTTTCTTTCCCACCTTCCCTTGCTATCTGTCCTATCTTCCCTCGCTATCTTTCCCACCTTCCCTTGCTATCTTTTCCATTTTGCCTTGCTGTCTTTCCCATCTTCCCTTGCTATGTTTCCCATCTTCCCTTGCTATCTTTCCCATCTTCCCTTGCTATCTTTCCCATCCTCCCTTGCTATCTATCCCATCCTACCTTGCTATGTTTCTCATCTTCCCTTGCTATCTTTCCCATCTTCCCTTGCTATGTTTCCCATCCTCCCTTGCTATCTATCCCATCTTCCCTTGCTATCTTTCCCATCTTCCCTTGCTATCTTTCCCATCTTCCCTTGCTATCTTTCCCATCTTCCCTTGCTATCTATCCCATCCTACCTTGCTATGTTTCTCATCTTCACTTGCTATCTTTCCCATCTTACCTTGCTGTCTTTTCCATCTTACCTTGCTATCTATCCCATCTTCCCTTGCTATGTTTCCCATCTTCCCTTGCTATCATTCCCATCTTACCTTGCTATCTTTCCAATCTTCCCTTACTATCTTTCCCACCTTCCTTTGCTATCTGTGCTATCTTCCCTTGCTATGTTTCCCACCTTCCCTTGCTATCTTTCCAATCTTACCTTGCTATCTTTCCCATCTTTCTTTGCTATCTTTCCCTTCTTCCCTTGCTGTCTTTCCACCTTCACTTGCTATCTTTTCCATCCTCCCTTGCTATGTTTCCCACCTTCCCTTGCTATGTTTCCTACCTTCCCTTGCTATGTTTCCCACCTTCCCTTGCTATCTTCCCCACCTTCCCCTTGCTATGTTTCCCATCTTCCCTTGCTATCTTTCCCATCTTACCTTGCTATCTTTCCAATCTTCCCTTGCTATCTTTGCCACCTTCCCTTGCTATCTTTCCCATCTTACCTTGCTGTCTTTTCCATCTTACCTTGCTATCTATCCCATCTTCCCTTGCTATGTTTCCCATCTTCCCTTGCCCCCACCTTCCCTTGCTATCCCATCTTCCCTTGCTTCCCTTCCCTTGCTATCTTTCCCATCTTCCCTTGCTATCTTTCCCATCTTCCCTTTCTATCTATCCCATCTTCCCTTGCTATCTTTCCCATCTTCCCTTGCTATCTTTCCCACCTTCCCTTGCTATCTTTCCCATCTTCCCTTTCTATCTATCCCAACTTCCCTTGCTATCTTTCCCATCTTCCCTTGCTATCTTTCCCATTTCCCTTGCTATCTTTTCTTCCCTTGCTATCTTTCCCATCTTCCCTTGCTATCTTTCCTTCCCTTGCTATCTTTCCCATCTTCCCTTGCTATCTTTCCCATCTTCCCTTGCTATCTTTCCCATCTTCCCTTGCTATCTTTCCCATCCGTGCCTTGCTATGTTTCCCATCTTCCCTTGCTATCTTTCCCATCTTCCCTTGCTATCTTTCCCATCTTCCCTTGCTATCTTTCCCATCTTCCCTTGCTATGTCTTTCCCATCTTCCCTTGCTATCTTTCCCATCTTTCTTTGCTATCTTTCCCATCTTCCCTTGCTATCTTTCCCATCTTCCCTTGCTATCTTTCCCATCTTCCCTTGCTATCTTTTTCCCATCCTTGCTATCTTTCCTTGCTATCTTTCCCATCTTCCCTTGCTATCTTTCCCTTGCTATCTTTCCCATCTTCCTTGCTATCTTGCTATCTTTCCCTTGCTATCTTTCCCATCTTCCCTTGCTATCTTTCCCACCTTCCCTTTCCCTTGCTATCTTTCCCTTGCTATCTTTCCCACCTTCCCTTTATCTTTCCCACCTTCCCTTGCTATCTTTCCCATCTTCCCTTGCTATCTTTCCCATCTTCCCTTGCTATCTTTCCCATTTTCCTTGCTATCTTTCCATCTTCCCTTGCTATCTTCCCATCTTCCCTTGCTATCTTTCCCATCTTCCCTTGCTATCTTTCCCATCCTCCCTTGCTATCTTTCCCATCTTCCCTTGCTATCTTTCCCATCTTCCCTTGCTATGTTTCCCATTTTCCTTTGCTATGTTTCCCACCTTCCCTTGCTATCTTTGCCAACTTCCCTTGCTATCTTTCCCATCTTACCTTGCTGTCTTTTCCCTTGCTATCTTTCCCATCTTCCTTGCTATCTTTCCCATCTTCCCTTGCTATCTTCCCATCTTCCCTTGCTATCTTTCCCACTTCCCTTGCTATCTTTCCCATCTTCCCTTGCTATCTTTCCCATCCTCCCTTGCTATCTATCCCATCTTCCCTTGCTATCTTTCCCATCTTCCCTTGCTATGTTTCCCATTTTCCTTTGCTATCTTTCCCACCTTCCCTTGCTATCTTTGTCAACTTCCCTTGCTATCTTTCCCATCTTACCTTGCTGTCTTTTCCATCTTACCTTGCTATCTATCCCATCTTCCCTTGCTATGTTTCCCAACCTCCTTCTATCCCATCTTCCCTTGCTATCTTTCCCATCTTGCCTTGCTATCTATCCCATCTTCCCTTGCTATCTATCCCATTTTCCCTTGCTATCTTTCCACCTTCCCTTGCTATCTTTCCCATCTTCCCTTTCTATCTATCCCATCTTCCCTTGCTATCTTTTCCATTTTGCCTTGCTGTCTTTCCCATCTTCCCTTGCTATGTTTCCCATCTTCCCTTGCTATCTTTCCCATCTTCCCTTGCTATCTTTCCCATCTTCCCTTGCTATCTATCCCATCTTCCCTTGCTATCTTTCCCATCTTCCCTTGCTATCTTTCCACCTTCCCTTGCTATCTTTCCCATCTTCCCTTGCTATCTTTCCCATCTTCCCTTGCTATCTTTCCCATCTTCCCTTGCTATGTTTCCCATCTTCCCTTGCTATCTATCCCATCTTCCCTTGCTATCTTTCCCATCTTACCTTGCTATCTATCCCATCTTCCCTTGCTATGTTTCCCATCTTCCCTTGCTATCATTCCCATCTTACCTTGCTATCTTTCCAATCTTCCCTTACTATCTTTCCCACCTTCCCTTGCTATCTGTGCTATCTTCCCTTGCTATCTTTCCCACCTTCACTTGCTATCTTTCCCATCTTCCCTTGCTATCTTTCTCATCCTCCCTTGCTATGTTTCCTTCTCTCTGTGACCGTTTACATCATTATTTTAAACCGGGCGTTTTATTCATTGTAAGTTTGTATGAATTGTAATGTAGGGAGGCCTGTAATGTTAAAAAAATATGTCCAATGCATATGAATTACTTTCTATAAAATATATTTAAATGGGTTAAACTATAATCATCTGTACTTCTAAAGCATTTCAATCAACAATTTATCAATATATAATGTAATTGAGATGGAAATATCGATGAAGGTGCCATTGTAATTTTCCACACATATAGGGAATGAGGTAAAAATGTACTTAGACGACCATGAGGTTTAATGTTCTGATACAACAGTGAGCGCATGTCGGGCATTTACATCTGTGGTGAGGAATCAAGCGTGTTATCAAAGTTTATAACTTACTAATATGTACTGTGAGATTCCTTACAAAGGTGGTTTAAATTAGCATGTCTTTACACTAGGAAAAAAGAAATCAAACTGATGCGACATAGTTATATTTGTTACTGGTGTTATTCTACCATCGGTCTAAGTGCAAAAACGTCCTTATTTTCAGCTTTGTCATACTGAAATGTTTCTATAATGAATATATGAAAATAAGTTTTCAACAAGTAACATTTATTATTTGCAAACGTTTGAAATAACCTTATTAACAAAATTTATAATTTGTATAGGGTTTTAACGAGTTGGAAAAGTTATTGAAGCTATCTGCTATATGTATAGCGACAACAGAGAAGCTCCTGAAGGATTCGGGCGTAGCCGGGCAGGCGTCATATGATACAATCGTCGATAGGCTGAAGCAGAAGTCTAACGCTAGAGGTGAGAATTATTCACGTTAAGCCAGTTACTTGTTGCCTGTAATGAATTAAAGTCGAAAATATTTGTACCCTCGAATACTTGAACACAGAATGCCATATCATAATCAATACATCATTATCAGTAAGGGTATACTTTTAAACGTCTAAACAATTTCGTTCAATACTCATCACATCTAAAGTCGCACGATTCCTTTAAGACGCACCAGCCGTTTTTTGCTGATATACAGTTGTCTTTTCTTCCTCGATCAGTTATGTTGATATTTCCATCATGATTTCACCATTTTCATATTTGTTTGATCTTTTTCTCATAATTGCTTTTTATGTTTCATAAAAACAAAACGGACTATATACCCTAATGTCTCTTTATAAACTTCAGGTGTGATAATATTTGGATCGGACCAAGAAGTAGGGGAGTTAATGGAGGCTGTGAGACGTCGGAACGCCACAGGGATGTTCTCCTGGATTGGAAGTGATGGTTGGGGAGGGCGTGGCCTCGCGTATTTAGACAAAGAGGCAGAGGTAAAGTTGTAGACTACCTTCTTCGAACTTTGCAAGATTGCATATATTTTAAAGTGCTAACCATAATGTTCTTGCATCCTCTACACACCCCACCTTAAAAACAAAGTAAAGAAAAAATATACATATATACCATACCTCCATTTAGGTAGAGGGAGCTGTCACAGTTCAGCCATTGGCGTATGAAGTAATTGGATTCAAAGATTACTTTTTAAACCTTAAACCGGAAACAAATGCCAGGAATCCATGGTTTATAGAATATTGGGAACAACAGTTCCGGTGTAAATATCCAAAGAGCAGTTGGACCCCTTATAACGAAGAATTCGCCGGGAACCCGTGCACGGGACAGGAAGTGATGTCAGAGGAGGAATTCGATATGGAGGCACAGTTACAGTTTGTCAGTGATTCAGTGTTAGCGTTTGCCCACGCCTTTAAGGTAAATGTTCTGTTTCTCAGTCGTCATTAGATAATAATTATTGCTATAAGATGTATACAAGTAGAGACAACAGATCTCTTTCACTCTTATAAAAGAAATTGTATATCAAATCAATGTTAAGTTAATAGCTACTGAACAGTTTATTTGAATACAAGACTTCATTGATACATATGTGTCATGTACCGCGTGCATTTTTCATATACATATGCCCTTCTAAAAAACCAACAGCATTGAAACGTTATATTTCCAACAACCAGAAATACGTGAACGAGCAACCGTATATTAGTATTCCATTACATGTACACTTATTCTGTCCGGAAATATGATCTACCCATTCTATTGTATAACTGACGTCACACAGTCAGTTTGTATTCTACAGAGGACAATATGACGTTAAACTCTGCCGTATGGCCGCCGTAATCATTATTATATTCATCGTTTCGAGATTTCTAACAACCAAAGAATCTAATAATGTCATCAGTCATGTTCTTGGAGTCACGTGCGGAAACGATACCTCCTTAAGTAAAAGAACATTATAGGAATATGTTATCAATTGTAGGTATCGTCTTCACCTTTGACTCTATAAATCTGACGACCCACCGTTCTAAAGACGGTTCGTCCGCTGAAAGACCGAAAGGTCGTAATAGTGGACGTAAAATCCGCTAATAAATAAAAATAAAGTTCTATAGACCGCCATTCACCAAACAAATTACTTATTACGTGGACTAGGGTTGAACTGTTTATCTACACAATTAAATCAAGATTCAGCTGTTATGAACCAACGAACACTTTATATTGAGGTTTGCTGTATATAAACGAGGGGCATTTTGTCTGGAATTGCAATATTGATATACATTATTCTATAAAATTTTGGTTGAGACTGTTTTTTTATTGTATATATACATTATATAACAATCTACCACTTCAGGATATGCATCAGGTACTGTGTGAGGGAAAGCCTGGACTATGTCCGAACATGGACCCTGTCGAAGGAGAAATACTCAAAAGATTCCTCCTCAATGTTAGTTTTACAGGTCTGTATTCCGTGTGTAACCATTTCACTGGTGCTGACAATGCTTCTGCATAAATATAAAATACCTTTAAATTCTCAGTATGGACCTTGTATCCAATATTCAATATGTATAATAAAGCAGGGATATACAATGTATTTATTAACATTAACCATGACAGATAGAGAAATGTATTGCAGTGGAATTGTTGTTTAAATATTTGATAGTGTAAATGATCATGTATTTTATATGGAATATGTTCGTTTAGAATATTTCAGCTGTTCTTTATCAGAGGGACCCCACACCAAAGATTTTCAAATCGGTAACGTTTCGTTTGTTTTATAGGATTGTCAGGACAAGAGTTCTCTTTCTTGGCTAATGGAGACGGACCAGCTCGGTACAGAATTTTGAATTTCCGGCAGAAATCCAATGGCGAATACTCTTGGGACACAGTTGGATTCTTTAAAAATGGAAGCTTGATAGGAGTAAGTAGAAGTTTGGATTTGTCCACTTCCTTAGGGTTTGAAGTTGATATTAATCATTAAAACGCGAAGATGGTAGAAGAAATGAAAAGGGTTTAGTCTGGTTTTAGAGAGTACAATCTGTTTTAAATCTGTTTTTAAAATGTTTTAAAAATGTATTGATTTATTTTATATAAATATCGATTAATCACTCGTTCAGAATTAGTTGTATTTGATATCTTTAATATCAATTGCAAGTCCTTTGACAACACATTTATGTCGTCTTTCTAGTAGAACAAGACAGATATATCTTCTAGTTTTACTGAGTAATAAGATAAACATTTACAGTGTATATGTTATTTGTCAGTATAAACGAAATTTTATCTTAAAGTGATAAAATAGATGTATTTTAAAAGAAAACTTAGATATAAGAAGTGATGGATTAGGGTTTGAAAGCTGACCAAAATAAATGGCGATCGTTTCTAGACAAATCAATCAATAGCGTATTGTCATGATATAGATCTAGCTGGTATTTCGTGATCACCACAGTTTAAAGGATGAGGTCGCATTCATGTACAGTCCGGGCGTCAATAAACAGGAAAAATATGTTCCACATAATTCTGCTGACTCGGAACCTAACCCATACAAGTAAATGACAGACGATATCGTCCGAAATTGTTGTAGGATTGAAGCATCAGACATGTAGTATTACAAACTTAAAACAGACCGGATATTACAGGAATGACTTGTTAAACAAACATGGAATAAACATTTAAAGCACAATATTAGACATATAATAACTTTATCCACAAGGGGATACCTGGTCAAGATTATTATAACTTCCAATCAAAATTATAAAAGATAAATTAGGTTTATCCACAAATAGAACATCTAGTGCAAATATTGATAAATATAGTAGATTTATCCACAAATAGAACATCTAGTGAAAATATTAATAGATATAGTAGTTTTGTCCAAACTTAGGACATCCAGTCAAGATTATAATAGATATATTGAAAAAGGTGGTATATAAAGTCAAGAACATGTGTGTGTCTCCTCCAAATTATCTTTATATCTGTACGCGTTTTATTTTCGGACAATAGTTTCCATTTAGTATCCCAGATTGAAATACAACTATTTTGTGGCAGATTGAAATGTTTCCTTACACTAGGGGTACTTCAAAAAGGTTATATCTGGTAAATCGGGGAAAGGTTTTACTCGAAAGCAACGTGTGAGGAATGGACATTTAAAAATGAGATCACTTGTCATAAAAATAAATGGTTTAATATGATCTTGTACAAACGGTGTGATATAGATAATTTCTCAAAAGTTGAACCGGATACAATCATCATCATTAAACAGATTATTTGTGTAATCATTTGATTTTATGTGATTATTGATAGGAATAACTGTCTAACAGAGGCGAAGCGGATGAAAATTAACCAGCAAGTGTTCTTTTAACCTGAAACAAGTTAGGAAACAATTTATATATTATATATGGGAGGTATTTTTTAAAAATGAACATTCAGAGTTTTATGTCAGATCCTAATAATATTTTATTTCGTCACGATTTCTTACCGTTAACATGTACTTGTTACAGGTAGATGATTTGGTGTTCCGAATGGATGAGGAACCGGAACATCCGGAATCTGTATGTAGTAAGGATTGCGCGTTCGACGAAGCGTATAAGATAATAGATGGCGACACCTGTTGTTGGTCATGTGTAAAATGTGACGGTCATCGCTACCTACCGAACAAGTTCAATTGCGCCGCTTGTCCAATGGGAACCATTCCTAGTTATGATCGAAAACGCTGTTCTACAATCCCGATGTCGTATCTTAATTATTCCAACCCAATTGCAATAACAGCTATGACCTTTTCAACCCTCGGGATCATGGCAACTGGATTCGTCATGTTGGTGTTTCTACGCTTCAACGATTCGCCGATTGTGAAAGCGTCCGGACGGGAGCTGAGTTTTGTTTTATTGATAGGCATATTTCTTTGCTACGGCATGACGTTCATTCTTGTATCAAAACCTAATTCGATAACTTGTGGAGCTCAAAAATACGGTATCGGTTTGTGTTTTTCAATAGTTTATTCTGCTATCCTAACAAAAACAAACCGAATATCCAGGATATTTCGGGCGGGAAAACGAACTTGTAAAAGGCCAAAGTTTATCAGTCCGAAATCACAGCTTGTTATATGTGGTGCTTTTGTGGCATTTCAGAACGCTGTTGGGATTGTGTGGATCTTATTACGACCGCCAAAGGCAGTACCTTTCTATGCCAATAGGGAAGACCACCAACTGGTGTGTCTTGACGCCGTTGAATCCTGGTATATGATTGGATTCACGTATCCTATATTTCTTATAATTGTTTGTACATTTTATGCAATTTGGACAAGAAATATTCCCGAGGCTTTCAATGAATCCAAGTACATAGGGCTTACTATGTACACGACTTGTATCATTTGGTTGGCTTTTGTGCCAATTTATTTCAGCACAGCGGACAATATCCAAATCCGTATTGCCACCATGTGTTTCTCCATTAGTCTCAGTGCCACTGTAGGGCTTGTGTGTATGTTTACCTCCAAACTATCAATCATCATACTTCATCCGGACCAGAATGTCCGACAGTCTATCATGGCGTCCAAACCTGTAATGCCTGTACAGATACAAAACAACTACTACTCAACATGTCGGATAGAGTCAGCTACGCAATCAGAAGGTTTGTATTGCATAATGGTTTGGCGTGTACTACGCAATCAGAAGGTGTGTATTGCACAATGATTGGGCGTGTACTACGCAATCAGAAGGTGTGTATTACACATTGGTTTGGCATGTACTACGCAATCAGAAGCAGTGCATTTCACAGTGGGTGGGCGTGTACTACGTAACGAGAAGATGTGTATTATTGGATTCGTCACAGGGATAATGTAGATTCGAATGGGTTTAATCAAGTTGGGTAATACCAAAGATTGAAATGGGAACTAGTCCCCGATCAAAAAATATGATAATACAATTTCGATCCCAAGGATAAGAAAATTCTTATCATATTCATTACCAAAATGAATTATTCATATGTGCTCACAGACTGCATTTTGTAGGCAGGTTTTAAACTTATTACGACACAAGTGTACATGAACGTTGTCAAAGAATAGTGCACTATAAATTGTTATATATTGTGTACCGTTTCTGTTCGATACCTTAAGGTACTCTTATGCCTATGTTGTACATTTCACTGACACCGTAACACTATTTACAAAACAATTATTTGTCGTTCAGATAACTATTTCTTACTGGTGTTATTTTTTAAATATAATCTAATCCTTACAAATAGATGTACGACATACCCACCATTTCGAATCGATTTCGTCCGCATTAGAACTGTCAACGCCCAAGGACAGTAAAGCATACAGTTCAATACACTGCCATTATACTAAAAAGATAAATGATAAAAAAAATCCGTCGATATTTCACTTCCAGTGGTATTGCATTATCATCGATTTTACGTAGCTGCATAATATGTCAAAAACTAAAGTAAAGTCGATTTACGTTTTAAATAATTATCTATGTTTTTTCTTGGTTGATCGTTTTGTGAATCCTGCTGTTTAAATCACACATTCTAAAACGTCTTACCCAGAGCTCGTTATAGAAATGTTTTCACATTGCTGTGTGTGTTATAGTCTTTACTTACTCAAAAGAGATAGCAATTCCAGAAATACACACACAACAGAATAAATAAAGCTCCAATTTCTCCAATATAAACGCTGCCATGTCATACAATATGCCAGTGTACATCATAATGTTGATGACAATGTTGGATTTGGAAATAAATAGCCTCAAATGTAAAGTTTGCCAAGGCCCAACTCAACAATTGTAAACAACACCATTCAATTTAAATTAGACTAAATATAGCCCATGAAATTGAAGAAGGACTAAATATTTTTAATGTGATAAATGGTTTCCATGGCTTATTACAAAAATATATAAATAAATATTATTTCCGATAGGACGTCTGTATCACTACAGTAGTGTTCCTTCATATAACTGATTCTAAACTCATATTTTGGTTTAAAGCTCTCAAATGAATGCGATGGTGCCGTGTCCATCTGCCACAACAGTTCGCTGATAGATGTAAGCTAATCCCACGTCTGATTCAAACGGTATCAATGGACAGATTCTTGGACCACGGTGTAAATCTCAGACAAAGGAATTCTCAAGTAATTATGTAATTTCTATGCAATCTCCCGAAACAGTCTTCTCGAGACGACATCCGTTCCAATAAGGATTCTCTTCAGTTATCTTGTTTGGAAAGTGGCCCTCACATTTTCCTTTCAGTGAAAGAGACAGTCGCCTGAATGAGGTTTGTTATTTGACCAAGATTGCAGTGGCTGTTGACATGATTTAAGGAAATTATTCAGCGTATTTGATTAAAAGATGTGCTGAGTTTTGGGGGGTTTTGAAGTAGAAAAATCTGACATGACGAATAAATCTATACATTTAGAAATCAACTGCACCGAACAAAACATTTTTCTTAAAACTGATGCAGGTTAGAATACCTCATCATTAACAGATAGATTAGAACAAATGAAACAATGAAGAAGTAAATTTCCAACTTTGAATGTATGTCTGCCTCTTAAATATTCATGAAGCTAATATAGAAATCTGAATTTGCTGAAAGTGTAAGCTTAACATAAATTTACAGAAAATGTCATTTAGTAGTCAATGCATAAAATAAAAAACTGAAATTCTACATATTTTTGCTTACGAACGTAAGGTAGATTATTTACCTGTACTGTTCTGCTATACTACCTGTATACATGTATATTATTTACCTGTACTGTTCGGATATAGTACCTACATACAGGTAGATTATTTACTTGTACTGTTCTGATATAGTACCTAGCTACAGGTAGATTATTTACCTGTACTGTTCTGATATACTACCTATATACAGGTAGATTATTTACCTGTACTGTATTGATATACTACCTATATACAGGTAGATTATTCACCTGTACTGTTCTGATATACTACCTATATAAAGGTAGATTATTTACCTGTACTGTTCTATTAAAGTACCTATATACAGGTGTACAGATATACTACCGATATACAGGCAGATTATTTACCTGTACTGTTTGAGATTGTACCTGCATACATCGAGATTATGCGCGTCTCTGGTTTTTGTAATATTTAATTTACAGTATCAATTAATGATAATTATTCAAGTTCTAAAGTGTGTTTACTTTTTATAACTTCTCAATCAACTTTGAGGGTATATCATAAATTTGTATAGCATTTTAATATTGATTAACGATTATATAGTCAGTGGACCCAGGCTATTCAGATTGAAGAAAAGAGCCTATATGTGGATTTATCTATATATGTATGAGAGTATCATCCAGGTAAAACAGGAACAGACTATAACTACTAAATACAGACCGATTCGGTTTAGGTTGAAATGCAGGTGTTAGAACCTCCCGGTGCATTTAATCTCTGAGTTTTTGCCAAACCTGCCAGTCAGATTTTGATATAAATGAATAATGAATCGGTTCAGAATATCCAGGTGTACTGGGCCTTCTTATATGTAGATTTATTTTCGTACAAATATCCGTCTAATGTTTGACATTTGATTTCTCTGATTCCGATTCTCCTCAATCGAACCTAGGTTTCAACATTTGGGCCATTAATATCACTGACGAGTCCTAGAAGGACGAACCAGCTTAATTGCAGTTTATAAATAGTTAAATTACGGGGCTCCAATGTATCTAGAGTTTTCCAAATTTTCAAAAAGAAAGGTGTTGTGCTTTTGAACGTATCACTGTAATGTGTTATATGAATGCGATGTTTGTCATAAAGGTCAAACGATAGGCCAAGAGAACCTATACATATTGTTCAGTCTGTCTGAGTTTAAAAGGGTACCTATACATTGCTGTCTGGGATCGGTAATGATTATAGAAAGCGATCCGTCACCACACACTCAGCCCTCGCTTCCATATCACATCAAACCAGTCGAGATTTATCTTATGCGAGAACAGTATTCAAGCGAACAGAAATAGTATTAGGCGAAAGTTCAATAAAATTCAAGATTGATAGACAAGTTGTGTTAGGTTTAGATAAGGGTTGTCAAATCTTAATGATGGAATTGGGATGAGAGAATGAGGCTTGCTGAGGTCTTTATAAACAGCTTATGTTGGTTAGTGAACGGAAGGTTCAATACAAACAACATTCTAATTATATAGCATTTTATCGCTTGTTGCATGCAATTGTAAGTGCCCAAGAATTAAATCCTTTAAAATCATGGTAGAAAATTTAAGAAAGTCCTAACCTTTGTTATCTTTTACCTTTTTATTTATATAGAATTCCTTTTGAAAAACTGGAAAGTAGAAGGTGCACGGCAGATCTAGATACATTATGTACTTAACCTACATCAAACATATAATTTGAATGTTTCGAGCTGAGAACGAACGCTGACATTGGTCACTGAAATCAACGGTAGCGTATTCATTACATTAATGAGATATATTACGTTGTCATATAACTATCATGGCTTCTCTTAAAACAATTATTAAAGGTCTGAAGCAAAGGTTTTCAATTTTGTTTTTACGCATCCATTTTCCCCTATTTCATATGTAAGTGTTAGAGAATGGTGTGATCTTTGAACAATGCTCTGTTTAGATGTTAGGTCTACATCGAAAAAAAACAGGTACTTCATTGAGTGCCATGATTTTCATATGTTTCTTAATTTTTGAACAACGTCACGTACATATATTATCTTGAACCGTGCCACTATTTAGATGTATTTACAAAGTCCTTACTTCAAAAACGTTAGAGATAATCATACATCAATATATCGGAGTCCACTGGCAAGATAAGCAATTCTTCAATGTCTGTAAGATGATCACGTGATGGTCAGTTAGTGACCATAACTGACCAGTAACGACATTCGTGATATCTGCCCGGCATCATGATGGATTTCAAACGGACGAACGTCCCTCTGTTTGTCAATTATCAGACAGAATAGGTCGTGGAGGGGAGCTATAATGGACGATGAAATGGCGATTGTATTGCTCACTCTCTGGGAGCTTATGTATTCTAGAATATATAGAAAACAATTCATCGATCACCAACACAACCAATATCATGTTATACTCTGGCCTAGTGACACTATTCAATACTTCTGTCATTGCTCAATGGTATGTAGGTTCTATATACCTCGGGATATTTACAGAGGAAGCCCCAGAGAGAAATTCCGGGATCTCCAAACATTATTACCACAGATATGTCTTACAAACGCATTCGCAACCACACAAATGGAATTTAAGAAATAAAGAAATCTATTTCCTATTAAAGTAACATATATCTAGATGTATTACGCCTCTTCGAGCTCCATCTCTACCGCTGATTTCCTTTTTGTATTGGAGGATCTAAATCGTCAAATTTTAGACAACTTTCGTATAAGTCGGTTTTGTTGTGACCGCAAAGAGTATGCAGACATTTTTAACTATGCAATTTAGCGTATTTCTATCTTGCAGCATCGCCATAACAACCAAGCTAGTATTTAATGGAATGAGTCCATGAGAATTGTAGAAATCGAGATTCAACACTGAGTTTATAAACTTATTTTACACTTTACAAAGATTCTATATTTTACCAGTTCATATTTCTGTTGAATTAACTTTGGATTAGACACAAATTTGACATGTCTCATTGATTAAGCTGTTTTCTATTAGATGAGTTTGGTCGACAGGGTGACCTTTGGTAGCAAGGGCGCTGCGAACACTCAAGGAACTCAGAACGTGCAATAAGTAGATTTTGTAATTATTTGAACTTTATTTAGACTTGAATCTTTTTTCTTCTTCTTGTCGTTTATTTAAATTGTCAGTTTTGCATATGATTTAGTAGCAGTTCACTGAGATACGTAGAATTGTACTACTGTCGACTACTGCTTCATATAACAACAAAGCAGACAAAATGATGTTCAGTGATTAGATATTCCGTTATGGTAGATGACAAACATCAACATTGATAGTCTGTAGCCATACAATATTAACAGATTAATAAATTGCTTTCATCAACTTTTCCATGTAAAATGTTGTTATATCCATACTTGTTTTTCCTGACATTGTAAATATTGAACATTGTAGAATATTGTTGTGTTGCTCTGCCTAAATTTGCCATTTGCAATAGAAATATTGTCGGTTGTCGTTCCTTCCAGATTCTTTGTTACAAAAACGGTATGACTTAATGCCCACCTTGGCAAAGTACACGAAACTGGAAATTAAATTGTTATATTAGTTCATTTAATTTTCTAAACAGTACCTACACATTTTAATTTTCTAACAGTACTTTTATATCTAAATATCTAAACAGTGCTTCAACATTTAAATTTCTAAACAGTACTTCTCACATTTTTCACAGATACATGTATGGAGCTGACTCACCGATTACGGCCTTCCGGTTCCTTTAGTAGCGCCTTCAGCAGGTCAACCAGTGCCACACAGACCTTCACGAACGGAAACAGCATTAGCACTCAAACACTTGACATGATTGGCAAAACGCACGAGGATAGAGATGTGCAACTGTAGACTTAGAAATCATCATGTCTACCTGATATCTACCGTCATTACACACAATGAAATAACGACGTTACGTTAATTACTCGGTGTAATAGTAAAAAGAAAGATAGAAAAAAAATATTTTGGATTTTGGTTCTATAATGTTGTTTACACGTGCGTGTCAACATATATTGGATATACTATGAACGTTAGCTTACTTTTTTTCGTGAAGGAGTTCATCGCGATCAGGAATTCGTTAGACATAGAGGCGATTTTAGACTTTCTAAGCATTGTAAACAATTAACCTTGGCGATAATATATCATATTTTAGAGTGTTATATTTCGAAACATTATAATGCAGAATATTATATTTCATAATATTATATCGATATCTTCCAACATCTATCGTCATTTAAATTTTCTGACCCCGAAGAAAAGTTGTCATATTTAACTAACTAGTCAATATACGGTTCTTTTCGTAGATATAGTAAAATTGTATTTCTTTTGAACGACCATGTATACCAAAAATAGGGTTGATCAAAGTGTAGACGGAAAGTATAACAATTGACAATAGAATTCACAATCCTTTGTATACTTTCGTCAAGTTTATTTTTTTTCTAATTGAATATTAAAATGTTTACTCATGCAATTGTATATTATTTTGATCTCATTTTTAACGACCTGTTAAGTGTTCCATACACTTGTACACACGTATATTATTAATATATATAGTTTTCATATTTTTGGCATGAAGCCGATTTAGATAGATTACTTGTAGCCATGCTATTTCGGTTTTGAGATTCTGGAAGATATTCACGATATAGAGTTTGCATTTCGTTTGTGTTAAACTCTTAAATGAAATACTTTTTTCGAAGTCTTCGCTATCCAAGTATTCTGCTGTTCTTCGGATTATTTGGCTGTTCAGTACATGTACAAATTCTTAAATGATACCAATTGCAATAAAACACATCAATAACGTTTTAAACTTTGAAATCAGGAAGTTATTAGAAGCTAAATATCATCATGTTTAGTCCTGTTCAAATATGTATGAGTATGCGATGATTTATGGCAACGTTTCTGAAATCATGCTCACCCATATTTTGAAAAGGTTAATGTACATCTGTAAATGTGTAACCTTGTGTATTATATTACGGAGTGAACATCTATTCATGGCAACAGGATGTCACGTATTTTGTCAGGCAGATGTGATCTCTTATAATGTATAGTTTTAATGTTTCTATAGAACATCTAATATTTAAAACCGAAAACAGCCTTCATTAACAGTCATAGGAGTTTTTGCAATTCAATATGTAGATTCAAGAACGCAAGAAGGAAATTTCAGACCTGCATTTTGAAAAAGAATTGTTGCTATTATTATTGTTTTTGTGTAATTCAAATATTTCAGTTATTATTGAAGAAAATTATCAAGAAATCAACAGCTGATTATTAGCGGACGTCTGGACGAGATGAAAACATTGTTTAATTATGAAATGTAATATCATACCTTCTGTATATCAATTTAAGATTTTAGTGTTAGTAAGTTAAAAATACCAGATATATATATATATATGCCTGGTAAACAATGATAATTGTTTGGAGGAAAGGAGTAAAAATTTAACATATATAGAATTTTTCGTTTTTAGGTATAGGTTATGCTTATACCTTGAAAACTAGAAAATAAGACATGTCTCATTTCTTCAATAGTAAGCTAATATATTTTCGTCTTTATGTATAGGTTGTGCTTTTATCCTAAAACTAGAAATTAACGCTACTTATTTTCCCAAATGGTAAACTAACACATGCTTGTTTAAGTAACAACAGGCTTACTTTCAGTATTGGCGTAGATGTACTGCCGGCTTGTTTTGGAGTTTGATGCGCAGTTACTCGAAATGTAGAACAAGGCAAAAAAGGCTTAAGTTGGAAAAATATAAGAGTAAAATGTGGTATTTTAGCAGAAAGCGTAATTGTCTCCTTTTTCTGTCTTTGGTAAAAAATGATAAAGCAAGAAGTGTTTCATTTTATATAAGAGCACGCCCTATAAAAGTGAAAAATCACATAAGACCTGCGCTGAGTTGAACACTCTGGGGAAATATTTCATTCCTTTCATCTTTTTTATCGACATAACGACCAAACGTAATTGTATCTATTACGTTTGACCTTGCTAATCATTACCACTCTAGGTTAACTGATACTTTTAGGTATCAATTCTCTGTAGTTGTGTTACTCCTAGTACAAATGCCAGTAAATGCTATCACAGTCAATCAACATTACTTGATCCTGATTTATCCCAGTACTCAGTAGATAGATTGTTGAAGTTTGGGAAATCACAACAAAAAGTTCTTTATTTAAAATTTTTGTCATTGTTCATACTTTGATATTTCAAAATTTGAATTATGATCTAGTTTAAACTTCGGTATTGTGTTTTATTATATCTTTAAAACAATATATTTTTAACCTTTAACACGCCCAGGCCAACAGAGTGTTCCAGATAACGTAAGTCTAATGTGTTTTACATAAGTTTTTTGTTTTATATCACAGGGTTCATGGACTAAAGGTCAAATTTCCCTACACATTAGTCTACAAAGTACAATATAATCCGCATTGCCGTAGGACAAGGATGGAGGAGAGTACCTTATAGTTCACATGCATTGACCTCTCTCTAGTCTTACATACATACCATTATGTTTTTACATTATGTTTTATATATAACACCTGTTATTTCAATTTTAATAACCTTCTGAACCTTAAGTAACTTGAGTCGGTTGAGGAGATGACTCTTTACCGTTTTATGTCAGATCTGAGGAAGCAAATCCGTAGAACATTCATTATTGTATTGTCCATCTTATCACAGTTAACATTACGTTTATATATTAATACAGATAGGGTTTTTTATGTTTAAGTTGTGAGTGATCTAAGATAGATAACTCTGGTAGAATCTTTTTAACCACACTGGGACTTAGACGGTGACAACGATAGAATTAAACCATGCTACTGGTATCACAGATACAGTATATACGAGGGTCAAAGAGATGAAATCATTTAAACATCATCTACTTAAGACCTTAAACTAATCAGATCATAGGACCTACAAACTTTACAGATGCTTCATTTTTTAACCAGTCACGCAGGTCGTTGTGTTCTTTACAGTTACCCTAACCTCTTTAACCCCACAAATAAGTCATTTCGGTTTTGAATGCGGCCTAGATAAACAAATCATCCAAATATTGTTGTGGACACATTTGAGCTTTAGCTGACAATTTTATTGTCATATTTCATTTTCACTTAAAAAGTCACCAATTCTTATTTAAAAAAAAAACGCATTTTGTAAGCTGTATGAATGGTTTACACAGCAGTTAGAGTGATCGTTAGTAAAGGTATCGGGCAGATAGCTCTATAGCTTTACTGTCGGGGCGAATTGTCATTGAATGTTAAGATATCATTTATATGTATGCATATTTACACCCGTTTGTTAAATTTCATAAGAAAAATCACACAAAGAAAAACAGACAGGGATTAAAGCAAATGTATATAATTATTTCTATGATGTAGTGGATCGTTATGCAGTTTTTATATATAAAACTTGATATAATTAACTTCGATCCTTTGATCCCAAATCTATGGTGTTTACGTACCCATAATCTAAAGCCTATTCACTATTCATTTCGTGCATAATGTCGGCAGCTGACTAACAACCCCAAAACACTCAAAAGTTTCGAGAGATGCAGACTGATGAAAATTCCGGGAAAATTTAACGGTCTTCATAATGAATTGCTTGAGGAATATTCTGTTTCGTTTTATAATATGCAGTCGCACGTGTTTGATACTCGTTATTTAGCATGCTGTTGTTTTCATTTTAGATTTAAGAATCTGACTTGCTTGGGTTGTCCTCGATTTGCATTGTGGTTGTCGGCGATGAAGCAGAGGACGCTAACGCTTCCAGAACACCTTATTTTCCTTGTACTTATTTCTGGAATATCTATGTTAATCTTCATTTTGTTCATATTTCATTTGATGTTAATTTAAATTATGTTTACAGGTTGGTATGTTTCTGTTGTTGAACCTCTATATTGCGATCAAAATATATTGATTTTTAATAAAGTAATAACTATTTCACTAATGTAGGTCTGTTAAAAATTACAAAATAATTCAAATAAGATTAATTGTATGAAGATGCAGTTTAGGTATAGAATATCAACACAGATAACATCATTCTTTAATTAAACATACAAGCGGATATATATCAATGACAAAATGATAACTTCTGTCTAATTTATCCTGAATATATGCATGTGCATTATTATAGATTCCAATATCCAAATAACGTATGCATTATGCAATATGGACCAGGTAGACAAAAACATTATTATAGAAGATTATGTATTGTAAAATACCAACATGGCAACATAATCATAATTAAAATCCAAATTCCGTTAAACTACGGCAAATTATGAACAAAAGAAAGATTTACACGGAGAATCATGAAAAAAAGTACAAAGGAAATAAGACCAGACATTACGGAAGAGTAAGCGTATTCTGCTTCATCGACGACACCCGCATGTAAACCTTGGTCAATCCAAATAAGTAATGTCACGTTAGCAAATGAGAACAGAATCAATTGGCTATTAATGAGCATCATATATATCCAGCTTCATGTCACACAAAGAAAGAGTAAATCTCTGAGTGAGATCACTATGGCGACCATAAAACTTTCCCTTAATTTTCATCAACCTGCATCTTTTGAACCCTTGTGATTGTTGTCAGTTGTGTCAGTTGACATCTTGCACAAACATCGTGATTATGGGAACAAGGCTTTAAATATATATCAACTAAATAAATTAAATATCAACTGTGACGTGTAAATACCATAGGTTGGAGATGCAGAAATACTTTCTATCCAGAAATGGAAAATTCACGGTATGGAACCTGAAATCGTCACGTTTATCATAAAACTTGATGGAAAGTTGTTCATATCGGTTTTGTTGCAGGAAAAGGTAGAGATAAACAGCTGATGTAGAAGAGTCTGCCGTGTCTTTGATTTCCAGTTCTTTTTTTATATATACGATGGACGTAGTCAATAAATGTCTTGTTATTTAAAGACAGGATTTACTAATACATCTGGAGGTACATTTGAAAGTATGAACAAATAGTTATTTATAGACTTATTTCTATTGACGTTCAAAAATTGATTTGGTCCACTTCTATGCCGTTAGAAATGAACAAGGCTTATAGCATCAGTCTAGTTAGAAATCTAAATTACAACGGAGAAAAATAGCCAGGAGATCTATCTTGTTTTACAGTGGAAAATGACAGAAATAGATTAGACGGTCAAGTAATTTAAATGCTGCAGCAATCCTAGATCTATGTGTCAGGTTTCATTGATGTTTAACGCTATTATATTTTAAGTATCAGATCACGGCATTTATATATATAAACATGAACGCACCTTTACTCCAGAAACATACCTACAAGTTCAGAGAGTTTAAAGTGATAACAAATTCAGAAGGCTAATAAACTTATGATATTAATACTGTACCACACTAACGTTGTTCCACACCTATATGTTGGTACAACCCTATACGTTCGGTATGATATACGCCCTGTTATATACTGTATCTTGTGAATATCTTACATGTTTGATGTGTATTTAATGTAAATGTATGTATACTAATGAGCAATTAGCTCAAAATTAATAAAGAATTGCAAAACGGACGGTTGCCCATTTCATGTCCTGTTCTATTCGTGTAGTTTCATTTTTTGTTTTGTTTATTGTTTTAAGAAGATAATATCTATTTTGACACGCCATTATGATTTCATGTAGTGCATGTGTTAATAATATCCCCCTATTCCTCCTGCACTCAATTTGTTTTCTGAAAGACTCAATTAAGCCTGCTACTGCTAAAACGTCTGGTTTATGGGTCAACAAAAAGACCGCCATTTCTTTAAGTCTGATTGGTTGAAATTCACACAGCTTTATATATTATTTGAACTAATATGATTTACGACAGAGGTTTGTAACAATCCCCGTCCCAGTTCAAACCTGTTTATATTACTTTCGCAGATTAAGTTTGTTATACATACATCTGCAAAGCCTTAATCTATTTAGACAAATATTATTGGTAACTGTAGACAGGACATCTTGCAACCTTTTTGAACCATATTTTTCAGTATCGCCTAACAGCTACATGTGCCTAACCTAGCGCACCGTAGTTATCATACCCAATAACAAACGATTTACGGACTGAATAGTAAATAAAATGGGATGTTTAGATATTCTGGATGTAGCGTAACATAGGATATTTCTTTATCCTGCTGCTTCATATCGCCGTAATTCACAATAGTCTGTATCCCATTACCATCGTAAACGCGATAAGAACGTTACTGTGGTGTTATTCGATTCTCGTTATATCAACGTAACTAATTATATCAGAGTGTAATTTCATATTCTATATTAACAAAACTACGCAGATACGTTTATCAGCCACACGCTAAAAGGTTTCCTAGAAAAAGAAGAAAGAACACGTTTGCCTTTTTAATGTAAATGTATTTTTGTGAACTATACATAAAGTGACTCTTAAATGAAAATTCTAGAATATTGTGATGAATTAATCAAATGGAACCAAACAATAGCTGTCACTTATATATAATAAAGCCCTCACGTCGTAACCACACAAACCAAAGCGTAGTTACAACCAAGCTCGTCAGCAGATTGTAGATACAATTAGGTGACACTACAAGGACATTTAAAGGACACGTGTCAAGACAGCGCCCGTCGAGATAATTAATAGTCAACTAAAGACATTAAAGACAATTTATAAAACAGACATTTAATGAAGCCTGATATTATAGCAACATCTGTCCTTATTTTGTTCGAGAATTTCAAACATACAGGGGAATGGGTTAAACTACGACAGCTGTTATTTAAAAAAAAATTTCGTCATACAGTTTTACACGTAGTTGGGCATTTTGTAAAATGAGTGTCTATATTCCAATGTTAAATATTGATGATGACTGATTTTACCATGAAGTATCTTTTACATTGACGCATTTCATGCCATTAAAATGTAAATATATATTTAATACGCATCCACGCGTCATTACGTGTCAAATATTATAATTCATAGTATAATTGACGACTAATGTCTCAGTATTGGGTAATATCCATGACGTCACAAACCGATAGTTGTCGGTACTTTAGGAACTGTGTGTTACAGGTGGTCATTTCGGTATGTATATATACACATCCCTAACATGAAATGCCACTCACGCTTATGCTAATATAATGATCTACGTGGGTGAACGACAGTATTAACATCTACTAATAACTTTATATTTGCCATAAACTTTGTAGATTTATCATATTCCTCAAAATGTTGTCCTATTTCGCGCTATAAAATGACGTCATTTTGGAAGTGTGGACTAATCACTGTAACCGAACCACAGGGAAGTATCATGTTTTGTAAATGTTTGTTTGTTTGTTCAGCGTAGAAATAGCCAGGGTCAATTGAGGACGGTGTCCATGCTAGATGATGAGGCCACTCCAGGACAACGCCTATCAGATATGTCAAAAGTGTGACAAGCTGGAACTACATTCACGTCTGTCTTTTTTAACAAAAGGCCTAGGGGGAGGTAATTCCTGAAAGGACGTAAGTTTTAAGTGTTGCATTGCGTACAGAAAACAATTAAAAAGGGCAAAATATAAACAAAATAAAACATTACACTGAAATCAGGGACTTTGCAGGACAACAACCGCCTCGTAAACCTTGTTGAATCCAAGTCAGGAATGTCACGTCCTCAAATGAGAACAAGGTTTACAACAACGGAACCAACAAGCAAACTAGCGAGCATCAAACACGCCCAGCTTCGTATCGCACAAAGATATACAATATTCCTTATTGAGATCACTATGGCAACCGTAAAATTCCCTATAATTCCCATCAACCTGCATCATTGGAAGCCCTGTGTTATAAGTTTTTCCGTCAGTTGACGACTTCTCATACGACAACCGTGATAATGAGAACAGGCCCATGAATATCGAATCAACTGTGACATGTAAACATCATAAACATCATAGGATGCAGCGCTGTTGCTATCCAGAAAATTAACGGTTAAGTTATCACCAAAATCATCCAAAATAAATCTCAACAAAAATGTCCGAAACAACATTTTTATTTTCCTAAAACCGACATAAGAAAGTAAAAACAGATACAAATTACAGTGTATTTGTCTTTTGGACGTGAAGACATGGCAACAAACTTTTCTGATAGAACATTAGTTAAAATACTGACGTCACAACCGAATCTCAATTCAAACTCGAATTCGGTAATCTAAAGCAAGATAAGAACGAAATATAAATTCACACGGAATCACCTGAAGAAAAAAAAAAAAAAAAAAAAAAACACAAGTGTTATGGAATGGCAACCGTCTTCTGCTTCACTGACGACATACACTTAGTATATCTTGGACAATCCAAGTTAAGTTATGTTACATTGCCAAATGAAAACAACGCAAATATATATATATATGTATATAAATACTAATGTTTGGTTGTGAAAGGCATGTTGATATCTACAAAAATGCACTGAAGTTATAATTCAACATGTCTTGATGGGAAGATGTCCTGATTGATTTCGTTGTATGGACGTATTGAGATAAGGGCTGTTTTATTTGCTAAATGACTGGTGAAATTCTATAGTCATCATTGTCATCATGATATCCTTCTACAAGATCAAGGTTTTTTGGTCGTTCAATATAACATTCGACATATTTAAATGTAGTTGCTATGTATGGTGATTTCATTGTCGCTGCCCTTACTCTCATTGTTCGAACCTGATATTCTTTTGATACTAACTATGTTTTTATAAAGGGTGAAACAGGAATCACCAAAGTCCTAGTTTCGTCAACATTATTTACTTCGAGGGGTGTGTAATATTGAGTATTTCTCTCCAATTTCCCATATTGTATTTTATATTTTGTGAAGGATTGAAGAAAAAATAATGTTTGTTTACATGTTGATACCGTCGTCTTGGTCGTAATCTATATGATATGCTTAACGTAATACCTTCCCTTTACTTGACATCAAAAATATTTGACATTTCCAAATAAGCGAAAAGTATATCGCTAGAGAAAATTCAAATATTATTTTAATTTTATTAGAAGGGTTAAATAAAATGTGCATCTAATGAATCAAATCTACAGAACACAGTATGTTCGGCTTCTACGTTTATAACCCTTATTACAAAAATTATCATAGTAATTAATATACCATGTCCATAAACAAGAAATTCATGGTTTTGCGTATTATTAGCAATTCAAGAAAACTAATTATTTTATGTAAAACAGATACCTCATTAACTATTTTCAGGACGGTATGCTTTACTTTTTAGAAACACCAACGAATTTAAGAGAAACGATTTGAAACTGAACAGTTATTTTTTGGGTATAAACACTGACCTATATCCATATATCATTTTGTTCCTAACTACATACATCGTCAGTTTTCAAAGAGTCGTTATGAAAAAAAAGATATTTAAAAATCCATATAATAAGCTGACAATACATTTGGCAGCAGGTAATTAAGGCAGATTTCACAGAGAACTATAAAGGTCTGTCAACTTCAAAATGTATAAATATGAAAGTTATACACTTTCGTTCAGTGGAAGTTTAATCTTAAACATTGATTTTCTGCAGTTTAAGGACGAAACAATACTATATTGATTTAAACAGGCAAATATCTTTCCTAATTGTAATGGGTTTATTCTAAGCGATATTTTTTTATAATTATCAATCTAACCAATCTTGCTGTTATAATTCATGTTGCTCGCACGATACCTGACATCTTTAATGAGATATTCGTTATAGACATGCGTCAAGCAGAGGTATATGTTTTGTTTGCAAGACTGACCAAGATTAATTAACTACAGGTAAACGCCAAGGCAATTGTCACTTTCCATCATGACTTCCCCAGTAGGAGGTTGTTTTCCTGCCCTGTGTATTTTACAATGTGTAAGTATCGTTTATAACATTTAACGTCACATAATGATTTTCATTTAAATCCGAGTTAAAAACTATACTTTCCATATTATTTCTATCAATCGAAGATAAAAGATAAAGCTATATTGGATGAACACTGGTACGTTAGCAATATTTAGAAAATATGAATAAATCAACATTTTTATTAATATTTCTTTGATATAAGCCATATCGTATATTTCGATACGATACCAGTGATACATCAAAAACACATTATTATTTAGCAATTGGCTTCACAAGTTTTCATTTAGAAATAAAACAGTTCATGAAAAACCCAAACATGTTGCTATGCATTCATATGTTTTATCTGAAGTAGAATTTGCTAATGAAAATGAATTTTTCGACCCATTCATGAAATCAGTGCTCATGCAATTGAAATATCTTGTCAGTATTTAAGTGACACATCTGATCTTAATAGATTCATTTAAAAGCTATTAGAATACTTTAAGAACGTTGAGATAGAAATAGTACAATAATTACATGTCGTCTTCACTTATCTATGGTGTTAACACGTCGCAGTTGAGTCGAATTTCCTGACTTGCTCCTTTCATTGCGATTTTACTTGAAAAAATGTCGACAGCTGTCAGATAGGTGTAAAAACAGACCGTTTAGTGATGCAGGTTGATGAAGATTATGGGGCAGTTTAGTGGTCACCTTAATGATCGTCCTAACTAACATTATAATTTCCTGAACGATATGAAGTTGAATATGTTTGGTGTTCGTTAGAATGGCTGGTATATCCATTTTTAAAATTCGATTTGACTTCAGATTTCTCTTGGTTTTTTTTTTTGTGAACGTCAAACATGTATTGATAAGACTTTTTAACTCCAGATGGTATTGGTCTTAGCTGCCACCACGACCAACAGCCCCGAAACAACGACGGAAGAAACAACTACTGACCCACCAACAACTACCACTACTCTACCTACAACTACAACACCTACAACCACTACCACCACAGAAGGTATGTATATTATATATATCAGCTGGGAACGGCTGTGTTTTTGGATGGACCTTCTGGAAACCCATGGATATTTTTCAAATGTCGTCTTATTGATCCATATCTTCCAGTCATTTATCGATTGGATGACAAAATGTGTTGACATGTCTGCTCACTCCTGTTTTTGGTCGGATGTTAAGGTCTCATTATGAAATAATTAGGAATAACTCAAGACACAGCCAATGGTAATCAAATATTACCTCCCTTACATTCCAGGAGGCTGAATGTAAGGTAATTTATATTAGTTACAAGTGCAATGTATATCAAAGATTCAAGAGGTATAAGTTACTATACATGATGACGCAAACTCTTTGATAACAAATGTAAGTACTATAAGAGAAAAAATAAATTAAGGAAAATATTAACTACATCATGTTTATTTCAAACGATTTCCTTCGTCTATGGAAGATGAAAAAAAAAACGTAACCACACAAAGTTAGAATAGAAATAATTCCATATGCAAAACGGTCTTATCTATTCATGACATGAAAAAATGAAGGGATGTTTCACTTATTGTATTAATAGTGATATTATCTATATACATTTCCTTTCTTAAACAGCGTATAATACATTTAGTTACTTCTAAGAATTAAGAGATAACAGATAGAATTGATTTCTTTTTCCTCTTTTTATTCCTCCCCCCCCCCTTCTTTTTTCGTGAATAACAAAGTTTCGGTTATTTCGAAAAAACACGATCAATATTGCCAATACACCTTTTCACAATGCTTCATCATAAATTATTTGTTTAGTCTCTGTTGATCTACGGGAATATACAAGGTCAGTGAGACTTACAAGAGACGATCTGCGACTTCCTTTACACCTAGCGACGCCCTATATTTCCGTTCACCAATAATAACTAACAAAGAACAATGATTGATTCATCAGGAATAAAGATCATCTGCTGTACCCTACTTCATTATGCTGCTATGTGACAACAGAAGAAATAATCTTATTATTATTCATCTATGAAGGAAGCGGTTCTTTCGCATATAAACTCCAAGGTATCAGTGTAGAATATGAATATGACCGGAAGCAATTATGACACGACTACAATAAAATGAACATGCATATAAAATGACGTCTACCATACTGGACGACAATATTGCCGTCTAGTGTCACGCCGGTTACCATAGAAATATAATGTTCAAGCATGATGTCAACATTTCAATGCAAGATATAGGTTTGCTCATTATGAATCTCATGTGATCATTAAAACACTGCGATAATTATCGTTACAGCGCCTTATCTAGAGTGGGCGTATCCTGATTTGAGCAGTAGGGCACCCGAGAAGAACTCACGGATCGCTGTTGTTGGTGGAACAGCACAGGGTATCCATTTAGCCCTTCTTCTTACCGTGAGTATATAGACAAATATCTTCTGCTCTTCATTACACGAACAGCTAGTGATACAAAGTATATTAATATACAAATAGAACTATATTTTGCGGACTCAAAACGCAACAAATTATACAGTATATACTACAGTATATACATTGTATCAAGAATAATGGGATTCCATGCATTATGAGGTCAGAGCACCTCTTTTTTTGTTTTTTTTGTATTTGGTTTCTTTTTGTTTTTGTTTTTTGTCTTTTTTCATTGTTGCTATTACCGACGAATCCTAGTTGTATGATACAGTTTGATTCAGTGTTTGACAACAGAATATTCTAAACCTGTATTCACTCTTGTGTGTGTTTTAATGCCATGGCACGGCATCCCTAGTCCATCTGTCCGTCTTTCAATTGTTTATTCAAATCACTCCTAGTCATGGACGCCTGATGGGTGATTTTGACCAAATTTGGTTATAAGCATCCTTGGGGAAAGCGGTCATTTTTTTTATTAATGATGTGAGACCTACGTGCAGGGCCCGAAAGGGGAAAAATTCCATCAAAATCCTACTCCAAAGGAATGCCCGACTTTTGTCCAAATATTGCCTGAAGGATGCTTGAGTGAAGGGAATAATTTTGTAAACACGGTGTATATCGTCCCCTTGGAGCGGGCGGGGAGGGGCCCAATATTAGGAATTAAGCATATTCTTTAAAATCCTACTGCTCTTCCAGAAATGCTTGAATTTTGTCCAAATTTGGTCATAAGCATGTTTGGGTGAAGGAGAGTGTTGCATGAACAGTGGGTCTTGGCCCCTTAGGGAAAACAGGAAGCGGTACAATAAGGTGTTGTAACTTTGGAAGAGGTGAGATATCAACCTCATAATCATATATAGCATATCTGGGCAAAAGGAGATTAACACATTCCTGATGTAATGACTATCCCATAGGTGTGGTCCCCAACCCTTTGCACTTCAGTTTTGGGTGATACCTTTGAAACTCTTAGTGGGCATCAAAAGAGAAAGATAGATATGATATAATAATTTAACCACTTGTCTTGCCTTACCAAAGAGGCTAATTGAAGGAGCTGTACTTTGGAAATACTTGAGATATACAACATATAAGCATGCATACCTTTGCTGGGCGTTAATATCAAGATGAGCGATACAGGCCTTATGGACCTCATGTTGATTTTTTTGACCATATTGCTATTTGAAATAATGAAAATATTGAAATAACACAACATAATTAACTTATACTGCTTAATGTAATAGTAACTCATGTGGAAAAAATATAGAAACATCTGTACAGGGAAACAATATCAGTAACCGGAATAAGGTTTAGGGCAGTATACCAACATTATCAACATAAAGAACATATCCTCATATCAATTAATCATCAATGCATTGACACCATCTTTAATTTGTTATGTTTTAAACTTGTAACATAAACATTCCAGAGAAAAACCGGCTAAAAATACGAAAATCCGCAACCGCTGGCAAGTCTTCTTTTTCGTAATTTATGAAACATTCTTGCTAATTCATCTTACTGTCTGCTGATCATTTTTTGTTTAAATTTGCTGCACTTTGATATTTGTAAGACCACGGGCAATTCTATGAACGAATAAATATTCTTTCCTCCCTATGTTTTTAAGACTCGTAAGTTGCTAATAGATGATCACTCGTTTCATCGTGTCTTTTTATTTCAATGTAGTGGCCATAGGCCTAATTTTATTTATCTTTGTCAGAACAAAACATTTTTTGACCAATATATGATCAACACTGTGAATAAAAGTATTATACTTGCTTTACCTTGTAAGAAAATTTGGCATTTAATTTAGGGATATCAGCATACATTTAAAGGTAATCTCCAGAGACAAATCACTCTAGGTTGAAAGCAAAAGTGTGACTCCAATTCAGAGAACAGAAATCCGTTGCCGTTGGACATGTGTATAATTTTGTTTATCTAATCCACATATCCCTTGTGTATGTTCATGTCGTCTTGTATAGACGATGTGTCGGTTGGTGCTGTAGTTTATTTATTTATTTGATTTTGTGGGTAAAATTGCTTATCATATTATTGAAACTATTAGATCCTAAATAACGTAAAATAAATGTCCCTTAAATGTTTCTTAGGCAATTTTGTCAAAAACAAACGCAGTCCATAGACCATTGTTGAAATACTTAACTTTGGATAATTTAGAATATCAGCACCTTCTTACCTGGATTTAAAACTGATCCCGACAACATATACATCCACAGTCGCCACTTACATTGCAGATATAAGATGTTCTGTCTTTGGCATATCTAACAAGTCCTTGAAGGACAAAACAGTTGTATGATACAGTTTAATTCATTATATGGCTATATCTTTTTTCTAAACGTGTACTAAAAATGCTATATTAAGGTGTGTATCTTGCGCGACAGTAAGCATTATATATACACATGCACTAAGCGTTGACTTGTTACCTTACTGTATGGTAACACGTGTTGGAAGTCTTGTACGTTTGAATAATCTCTGTGCAAATCTGTTTGTCCAAATTTTGTACTAGTTTCACCAACTTTGAAATCAAATTCTAATGACATGACGAAATCTTTTGTATGATTTGACATGTTTTTTTCATCTTTCAATTATCTTCAAGGATGCGGGTTTCACAGACGTCAATGTATATGAATCAAGCCACAGATTAGGGGGAGAAAGTTTCTCTGTCTATTTCAATGGACACACCTTCCTACTGGGAGAAACTTTTGTCTTCGACGACGAAGAAGGGATTTTAGCAAAATTAAATAAACGATTTGAATCTACGGAGCTCACACCAGTGAAAAACCCTTCGATCTGGGTTTCCAAAACAAGTCAGTAAATTCCTCTGTCTGTCAGTCTGTATGTATGTATGTATGTATGTATGTATGTATGTATGTATGTATGTCCGTTTGTCTGTCTGTCTGAACTATTATCGATATAGAGCCAGGTTAACATGGTCTCAAAGTTAAAGCCCCGAGTATATAGTGTATGACATATCACCCTAAGACCACCGAAAGATGTGCATGAAATTCATTTAGGAAACCTTTACCCCTCGATATGTAGATATACGCTGACCTTTACATTGCTATACGTATCTATAGCGGGAGAAGGGGGTAGAGACGACTTGCACTTTGTGACCTCAGGTGTAAGTCCTAGGTGTCTGGTACGATGATCGAGAAAGCTGAAGATTTACATGTAGCAGAGATCACTTACTGGGCATCACATTTGACCTCACTTGTTCTGTGTGGAACGCGACGGACCTACCGCATGTTATCAGTGGGTTTGTTACCAACTACTACAAGAAGACCAGCCTTATGATGACACGTGTTATTGACGGGGAGATAAATGCGGAAAATAAACAACAAACAATATGTAATAATTGTATTTTGATTATGATAATATCAGTTGGTGTCGGTAACTGAAGGACCTGGTGATGAATGCCCTTAGAAACAAAGCAATAATCCCAGAGCAGAAGTCATAAATGGACAATTTGATAACAGGATCACAAGACCGGATATTACCTGGTGGTCATTTGTGACTACATTTGTCTGCTGTCCCGTTGAAAACTATGAACATCATACAACTGATTGATATTCATATCGCATTGAGAATTGGTATCGATAAAGCGACCTGTTAACGACGTTGGCGCATTCACGCTGTCGGAAAATAGATCTTTGCTGATCGTATCTAACAATGAATGATCGATACATTACTGATTTTTAAATGACGTTCTTCTAAAATTACCCGATTAATTTATGAAATTATTATCAAATTGAAATTTACCAGATTATTTAATGGACATAGTGCACATCCCATCAAGATTGTGACATTTCTTTCCCAATAATACTCAATTGACGAAACAGCTATACGAAGCAGTTAGAATTATACCTTGATTCTTTTGACCTTACTTTAATTTGTATTAAAGGTGCTTATTCATATTAATCTTTGAAACCAATGCATGGATTTTTTCTGAGTAAGTTCCATCCATACATGCTCAATTGAGTTCATTTCAGTTGACACCGAAAGCCTTTCTGTAACTTCTTGTTGAAGATACATCTCCCCCCTATCGTTAAATTCGGTGTATCACTTGGTGACATACAGCGCCAAACACATACAGAGGCACTGAAAGGAGTATGAAATGGTTTACATTTACAAAAGGAAAAATCAGTTTTAATTAAATTTTTCATACCGAAATTACTCTCCCTAACTTATAGTCAGGGGTATATTAGCCATGCATATAGGACAACAAGCACAAAATAATGCAGACTATTATAATTAATACATATTTAATGTTGGGATGTGTGTGTTGCATGTCGTGTTTTTTTGTTGATATTGTTAGAGATGTATGGTCATTGGTAACGTTACGTCACGTCATGTACTAAAATGATTCTTGGATTAGTAAACTGTTTTTATTTATTCTTTTCAGCTAAGCTGTCATTCATGGACTACCTGTTAAAGGTGGCAAAAGAAGTCAGTCCAACGGCCGGTGTAACGTCTGAGAATGTCGTTAAGTATTATCAAGTACTTCTGACAAAGTACAAGGAGGCACTCTATGCAAATTTTGGCAATTACAATGGTCATCTTATGCGTCGTCCACTTGACTCAGCCTTGAAACGTTATAAAAAGACATTCCTTCAGTTCTTGGTTGCCAATAAGGTTGAAGCATTAAAGTCAATATTTCAGGTCATGGCGACCGCAATTGGTGCAGGTGACATTGCTGAAATGCCGTCTTTGTATGGTTGTATGTTTATCAATCGGAGAATGGCAACTGTACTGTCAAACAAGCTAGGAAGTGGTAAACCAATAGCCAGTGTTTTCAAGAAGGGAAGCCAATTCATAACTGAAGATATTGCCAAAATGATGGGTTTAGACATTAAACTGGACCATGAAACTAATGAAATTGAGAGGCACCCTGGCGGTTATTATCACCTTTACTACAAGAAAGAATATGTGAAGGCATCTAGCAAGAAAAAGAAATGTTCCAAGGGATACTTTAAACGTAAATTCGATCATATTTTTATTGCTGTAGAACCGTATGAGTTCATCCCCTTTCTTACACAACCTCGTAATGAACTTATTGATGTACTTGGTTCACTGCAGTCATCATTTGATACCTACAACCTACTGAGGACGAATGTGACAACACGCGGCGAACGTCTCCATGAGCAGTTCGCGTTTAATAACTACGAAGGCTTCAAAACTCATTCATGCCTAGATAATATTCAGGGTAAAGGACCAAACGTAAACCCAGACTACAAGTACACCGTTTGTTTACAGGAATCCGAAACTAGCAACCGAACCCTCCTGGCGGAAGAAATGCATTCACATATCGAAGAAATGGAATACAATCTAATCAATCCAAGCTCCAACACATCTGTTGCAGATACCATTAAATTATTTCAGCGTTGGGAAAGTGAAAGGTTTGATTCCTATGCCATGTCGAATGCTACTCTTTGGAAACTTTTGAATATGCAAGGCAAGGACGGTTTGTGGTTTATTAGTCGTGCAGCAAGTTTCGGGTACGCGGATGCGATGTTTGATTATAATGAACGTTTACTGAAATCAATGGGAGTATCATTTACATAGCATATATTTATTACAAGACAATAATGAGACTGCAAAAAAACTAAACATGAACAGTCACAGCATTGTGTACACATTGACAGTCAAATATATGCCAATAACCTCTCGTGAGACGTAAAACTTCATCTTGGATACGTGGCTTGGTCATACAGAAAGACAATGGCACAGGTTTTACTTTTGAATACATCAGATAAAATAGTTACTGTTTCCATTTTAGTATAGATGATTTTCAGACAAAAATGTAACTTTGGGAATTGATCAGGAAATACATACAATAAAACATGTTCCAAAAATATTTTTTTGTTTTTAATTTCTTGACCAAATCATCAAGAAAAATGTGGCGAAATAGGCAATAACGGCGAAATCGATCTTAATGGAGATGGATAAGGGGAGATAAATCTTGCATTCTTCCGAAAACAATAAATTTAAGCAAAGGATAATCATATTTCCAATATGTTGAATCCATGAAATATACATGCTGTTGAGTATCAAAAATGCAATTACAATTCCAAGACATCAGAATGACTCAGTCGCCTCCTAGATTTCACATTTCATTTAGGCCTTACACACCACCGACGAGTCCCAGAAATAGTCGTTGAGGATGTTTAACAATTAACTATTTAAATGCTAGACTATCTAATTTATACTTTGCATCGATTGGCACTTGTATTGTTTGAATACAATTATTTCACACAAACCCTATAGCTTCATTCATTAAATTCGAAAACAAGATGCCTTAATCTATATATCTGGTTTATCTACAAAATGTATTGTAGCTACACATACGACCAACACATCCACTATATTCATCAGAAATTTGATTTGCTCCTACACATGAATATATTGAAATCTCCAAATAACACCCGAACAAATATAATCGTTTGGGATATGTCTAAATAATTCAAATAATTAAGAAAGATTTTATTAAACATAGACCAAAATGTCCTGCAAAATCAGAAATGGCAGTAACAGTATCAGTTGTCTCCCTTCCTTTTATTATGTTATTTGTGACTGCTGATAAATGTTTGGTGGTCGATGTTGTTTTAGGTGTTTAGTCGAAATTCTTTAAATTTATATTTATTTCTTCTCAGTCAATTTGGTCTATTTAAAGTACTAATACAAACTTTCAAATCATCTAAACAATAATGACGGGAAGACCTAACACATTCTTACATTCTTTTTCAAGTTACACCAGCATATTTTATTGACATAACGAAAAAAGGGTTTGTCAACAGACAAATCCTTTCCTAAAACATTAACATGCACAATGATTCCAAACATTAACATAATATAACACATCACATATAACAAAAGTGGAACTTAGCTTCAACAGTTTCCTTTTTATATTATACAATAACCATTGGTAAAGGTAAACTTAAATGCAGAGTGAATGAATAAGAACAAGACTTTAATGATAAAAACGAGACTTGAATGTTTAATGAATAAACATTTGATGAAACGTTATTAAATTACCCCCAACATCTACACACGTCCATTGTATTATCACACGCCATTCACTGATGAAATCAATGAAATTCATACGACAGGATCTGCCCCACAATATTTCATATAGATAATAGTTTCACTGTGAATTCCTGACCACATTCTCCATTGTTAAGCAATGTTATGATGGTCATTAAGATAAAATCACGCTTGAAAAGAGTTTAGATCACAAAGCAATATTAAATAACTGATTGTATTTACTTACTATTAATACTTTTTGGTAAAAAATATCATATACGTTACGGACATCAGTGCGATAAAGATAAAAAATGTATATATACTGTAATTGTTCATGTATACATTTACATCTAAATTAATTGCAAACACTTATAGTAAATACAGTTTACACTTGCATACATATACACCACCACCATCACATACCTACACATACATTCACATACATAAGCACACTAACGTGTACATTAATTACAAACATGTATTATATATATATATATTATAGTATTAATGTCATTAATAAGTTTACATTTTTATGTTATTTAAATCTGTATGAATAAAAAAATGTAGTAAAATACTGCAGTTTTCACAACCATCGAAAGGAATGTGTGATATTTTAATGAAGTATTATTTGGAAACTACTCTATCTAATGCATTCAAAGAATAAATGGTATGTAGTACTAAAAGTGTTGTTGCAAGAATGTATGGGTGAATCAGATACTTTTTCTTTATGGAGGCTACTTCAAGATTGTTAGAGTCATTTCTCAGCTGGCAGTTGAGTTCTCGATTTCTTGATTGTCTGAAAACAGAAGTTGTTTTTGAAATTGAGAGTTTGGTTATGATTTTTCAACAAATAATACACGTATAAAAAGCGGACTTTTATGAAGTCAGATAGACATGGTAAGTATAAACATACAACAATACATCTGATATAGACAGTATAAACATCCAACAATACATCTGATATAGACATGGTAAGTATAAACATACAACAATACATCTGATATAGACAGTATAAACATACAACAATACATCTGATATAGACATGGTAAGTATAAACATACAACAATACATCTGATATACACAGTATAAACATACAACAATACATCTGATATAGACAGTATAAACATACAACAATACATCTGATATAGACATGGTAAGTATAAACATACAACAATACATCTGATATAGACAGTATAAACATACAACAATACATCTGATATAGACATGGTAAGTATAAACATACAACAATACATCTGATATAGACAGTATAAACATACAACAATACATCTGATATAGACATAAGTATAAACATACAACAATACATCTGATATAATAAACATACAACAATACATCTGATATAGACAGTATAAACATACAACAATACATCTGATATAGACATGGTAAGTATAAACATACAACAATACATCTGATATAGACAGTATAAACATACAACAATACATCTGATATAGACATGGTAATACAACAATACATCTGTATAGACAACATACAACAATACATCTGATATAGACAGTATAAACATACAACAATACATCTGATATAGACATGGTAAGTATAAACATACAACAATACATCTGACATAGACAGTATAAACATACAACAATACATCTGATATAGACAGTATTAACATACAACAATACATCTGATATAGACAGTATAAACATACAACAATACATCTGATATAGACATGGATATAGTATAAACATACAACAATACATCTGATATAGACATATATAAACATACAACAATACATCTGATATAGATATAAACATACAACAATACATCTGATATAGTATAAACATACAACAATACATCTGATATAGACAGTATAAACATACAACAATACATCTGATATAAGTATAAACATACAACAATACATCTGATATAGACAGTATAAACATACAACAATACATCTGATATAACACATACAACAATACATCTGATATAGACAGTATAAACATACAACAATACATCTGATATAGACAGTATAAACATACAACAATACATCTGATATAGACAGTATAAACATACAACAATACATCTGATATAGACAGTATAAACATACAACAATACATCTGATATAGACAGTATACATCTGAATAGACATACAACAATACATCTGATATAGACAGTATAAACATACAACAATACATCTGATATAGACAGTATAAACATACAACAATACATCTGATATAGACAGTATAAACATACAACAATACATCTGATATAGACAGTATAAACATACAACAATACATCTGATATAGACAGTATAAACATACAACAATACATCTGATATAGACATGGTAAATACAACAATACATATATAGACAACATATACATCTGATATAGACAGTATTAACATACAACAATACATCTGATATAGACATGGTAAATAGCAACATACAACAATACATCTGATATAGACTGTATACAACAATACATCTGATATAGACTGTATAAACATACAACAATATATCTGATATAGATATGGTAAGTATAAACATAAAACAATACATCTGATATAGACACGGTAAGTATAAACATACAACAATACATCTGATATAGACAGTATAAACATACAACAATACATCTGATATAGACAGTATAAACATACAACAATACATCTGATATAGACATGGTAAGTATAAACATACAACAATACATCTGATATAGACAGTATAAACATACAACAATACATCTGATATAGACATGTATAAACATACAACAATACATCTGATATAGTATAAACATACAACAATACATCTGATATACACAGTATAAACATACAACAATACATCTGATATAGACAGTATAAACATACAACAATACATCTGATATAGACAGTATAAACATACAACAATACATCTGATATACACAGTATAAACATACAACAATACATCTGATATAGACAGTATAAACATACAACAATACATCTGATATAGACATTGTAAGTATAAACATACAACAATACATCTGATATAGACAGTATAAACATACAACAATACATCTGATATAGACATGGTAAGTATAAACATACAACAATACATCTGATATAGACAGTATAAACATACAACAATACATCTGATATAGACAGTATAAACATACAACAATACATCTGATATAGACAGTACATACAACAATACATCTGATATAGACACAATAGACAGTATAAACATACAACAATACATCTGATATAGACAGTATAAACATACAACAATACATCTGATATACAGTATAAACAGTATAAACATACAACAATACATCTGATATAGACAGTATAAACATACAACAATACATCTGATATAGACAGTATAAACATACAACAATACATCTGATATAGACAGTATAAACATACAACAATACATCTGATATAGACAGTATAAACATACAACAATACATCTGATATAGACAGTATAAACATACAACAATACATCTGATATAGACAGTATAAACATACAACAATACATCTGATATAGACAGTATAAACATACAACAAAACATCTGATATAGTCAGTATAAACATA